TATTTCCATCGTTGTTTAAGTAATCATGTTGTTTGTTTTTTTTAAATGTTTTAACATTTGTTGTTAAATATTAAGCTGGAATCTTAAGAGGACCTTCCTTTCTCGAATGAAGGGGTAGACAGGGGGAGGAAAAATTCTTAATATGCTTTTAATCCTTTTCATTTAGTTTAATCTTTTTCATTTAATTCCTTTCATTTAATTTTCACAAATAAACCGATGAGGGATATTTACTTTATTTGACACCATCCTTCGATGCATTAGTGTGATCTTTATTATAAATATCAGTTGAAAACTTAGGCTGAAAACAATATAAAAGCAAACACTAATGCATGAACGCAATGTCAGGGTTAAAAAAACAAGATAAACAGAAAACTGAAATGATGATTTAGAAAAGTATTCAAGGTGTAAAATAAAAACTTAGAGCAATGCATGTTCTGCAAACTTTAGTTGCAGTTAAATTTACTGTTAATCAACTGTTATAGCGCCATTAAACAGGAGAATGAAGTAAATTTCTGCGAACTATTTATCATTGGCTTCATTTACTCGCTTACCAATCTATTTTTTTTTTACTCTCAGCAGCTTTCTTCCAAGAATTTTTTGGAAATAGTGGAAAGAGAAAAAAAAATAAAGTTTGGACCGAAAATTAATCACGCAATTCTGCTTTAGTCACTGTCTTCTTCAAGAGGCAAACCATTAGTCTCTCTGTCAATCCAAATGGATTCTCTGAAAGTTAAAATCCGAGGAATCTTCCATTAGGGGAATTTTTAATAAGGTTTTTGGTTTCTGAACCATTTAGCAGCTTTTTTATTCTCCCATTCATTTATGTCCCAACTTGGTCACTAATAAATGGACTTGATTAGAAGAATTACTTGATTTAATAGTTTTGCTCCATTCTGATTATTGTATTCCACGCTGATGATGATATTTAAAAAAATATGTACAACATTATGGAAGTTTTAGTTTGTGACCTGTCCCTTATTTGAAATGTTAAGAGAACGATACTGCGGGACAAACGCTTAATGGCAAATTTTATTTTGCTTAAATTAGTGTTTTAAAACTTAAAATTTATATATAAAAAAGCTAGTGCAGGTAAACCAAGCGTCAACTTTTAAGTTTCAAATTATGACTGGATTACGCAGTAAGGAAGTGATACAGTCAAACTTTGTTTGGATTTCGATATTTTGAGAAAAAAAGATTTAGCAATTTAGACTTCATGTTTTAGTTTTGACTTACGCGAACTCACTTTTTTGTGTGCTTTAAGTTTTTAATTCCAATATATAGGTGATATATAGGTGAGATAAGAATTTGTCATGGAAAGTTTCTCCCGTGGTGTAATGTTTGATGCACCTAGCTAGAGACAGTGGATTCGATAGTCTTATTCAGTTGATTACTAATCCACTAAGTGTAAATAGAAGATTTTCTTTCTTACAAAAGAAAATAAACCTGGTATAGAAAGTTGCTTCCACAAATATTACTTCCTTTCTGTATTAGGTACTGGAAATATATGGTGGCCCATACACATCTCCATGTTTAATTGAATTGATATTATTTAGGTTAATTTTTTGACTTCTAAAAGAATTTGAAAGCGTTTAGGCTATCCAAAAATCGAATTTTATAAAAGGAATTGTAGAATAGTAATGACAATTTTAAATTTTAAAAGTTACTTTAAAACACTATTCAAATCAAATATTGTCATTACCAATGGTGATCTTAACTTTGAACAGCAGCTTAAGCTTAAAATTTGATGTCTAAAAATGAAACTATGTTGGAGTTTTCTTATATTAGAATCTTAAATTTGTTTTTCATCTCAATTTGGTAACTTTTAATTTGAACTGCATCTTAGAGTGATGAATACATATTTATAATAAAGCTTTAGCTTTAAAATTAATACATTAAAATTTGAAAAAGAATCAGGGCAAAGCAAATAGATGTCTAAATTTTAAACAGCACGTATGAAGACGAGGCTTAGGAAATTCCGCTAAATCTAAAAGACACGTGTAAACGGGAAATTGCCTTTAATTAATTATTTGATGAAGAATTGATGGAGTTACATGTGATGTTAATTTTTTAGTTAGGTGTTTTTTTTTTCTCCTACTATATTTCGAACTTTTTTTAACGCAACTAGTTTTGTGTAATGTTTCTAACTTTTCTTCTTTACACCTTCTTAATAGCGTCACTCAAATGCCATTTTACATCCTTACTTAATTTTACAAATTCAAGAAGATTTTTCTAAAATTATAAAATGAAATAGAAAAAATAAAAATACCCAGTATTTGGATTCGAAGTAAACGTGAATGTAATCCATATTTAAAGTTCTTCAATTGTGTTTTTTTAATGGTGTTTTTTAAATACTTACGAGCTTGATAGCTATTTTATAAGATCAAATCTTCAATTACATTGTCAGTGCTATTTTATGGCACCATATAGGAAAAATTTCAGTTGGAAGGAAATTAGCAACCAAGCTAGCAGCACTTTTTCAGCAAATTTTTGACCTATATCTGTTTTGAACCAAAGGCGGCTTACTTATATCCCTAGCATTTACTTGCAAATAATTACCCTTAACTGTCATGATTTCAAATTATGAGTTAAATATAAACTAGTACAGACAGATGCGCGGAGAAAAAAAGTCTCATGAAATTACCTTAATATACGGTAATGACATTTCTGGTAAAAAAACCATAATTCTGGTATTAAAAACCAAAATATACGGTATTTGAACTATTAATTAGACAATTTTCCGTTTGTATAGTAGAGGTCTACCGGAAATTCTGGTTTTCAAAATTTTATTCCTAATTACCATACATTTAGTAAAAATACCAAACTGAAAAACAAACCAAATAAATAGTTTTTATGCCAGGCTCCTATTCATCATGATAAGATTACCACATTTATTACCGAGCAGGATAGTAATAAAACCATATATTATTGATAATTTTGCCAAAGGTCATTACCAAGGTTGGAATAGCCTGGTTGGTAGGGCACTAGGCCCATGTCCAAGAGTTCGTGGGTTCGATTTCAGCCGGCTGAAGACTCCCATATCAGTAAATGGTGACTGATGCACGTTAAATCTGTCAAATCCTCCATGTTCTCATAACAAATCATACTTCTGGGGGTACTGATCCAGGAGTTTCCTTGTCTTCTGGATTTGTTCAAAATTATAAAGCTACCGAGTTGAACATTAGTAGTCGTAAACTCAACATTGGGTCGGCGCTTCAACAACGGATATAAAAAAAAGGTCATTACCAGAGCGTTTTTGTAAAAATTAACGAGCTTCTTCGTTTTCCCATGAAGCCAGAAATGAAGTAAATTTTACCATATTCAGGTAATTTTGAACATATTTTTTTTACTCAGAGTGCAAAGCTGAAGCATTAATTATTTTTTTAAAAATCTAATCATTAAAAAAATCAGCTCAAAATATCATCTTGGTGGAATACAAGGAAATATAAAAGTTATGTAACAACTTCTGCATTTATTGTTGCAATTGAAATCGGTACTGTTTAATTCTGTAAATCCGGCAAATTCTGTGCTGTAAAATAGTATATTTATGTAAAATCCCACGGAAATAGATGCGATCACAAAGTTCTTTAAGATATCAAAAAGTATCTCATGTTAAAAATGGAAGACCAAAGGCATATTCATGTATCCAGGTTGGGTTAGAAAAAAGATATCACTGAATTGATTTAACAACTATTTTAAAACTGTCAAACAAATAGTATATAAAAAAGCAAATAGCATGTAGAGAAAAAAATATCTAAAAAACTTAAAATTTGAAAATTATCTTTATTCTGAACTATGCAAAGGAACTCTTTTTATTTGTCTATTTTGTTTGAGTAGTAATAATAAAAGTGCACTTTTTTATAATGTACATATTAATTTCCTTATGAGTAAATTTGGAATGGTTTCAGTGTTAATTCTATAAAAAATGAAAAAGAGAATACTTTTTTTTGCTATTATAAATTATTTATTTGCCTAGTTCCATTTCAAGGTTATACATAAACAATTGAATATAAAGTTTTAAAGTTTTCAAATAAACGAAACAAACATTCTCCATGAAGATGTGTATATTTCATTCTAGTTATTTGTTAAATATTTATAATAAAATATTTGCTTTATGTTTTTTAAAGTAACATTTCGACGTTGTGAAACATACAATCAAGATAAAAACAAAGTCAAATGTTATTGTGATTGCAGTATTTTTTATTTTGCATTGTTAAAAATAATATTTTTTAAGCAATATTTAGCAACTATAAACATTTTATTATGTGTGCTGTTTTATTATTCAGCAAATTTTTATACTGGGTAATAGGGAACAAAACGAAGAAAATAATGATTGCTTTATTGTTTAAACAATTGCTTTATTGTTATATTGTTTTATATTAACATATTGATAACTTTTATATTAAAAGAATTCCACGGTTTTAAACTTAGTCATCTATTCAAATCAGATCAATAAAATAAGCGAAGAGGAAATAATTGATATATAAATACCCAGTA